ATTCTTTACATATTGTTCATGCAAGAATAGTCTTTAATTCTTTCCATATTGTTCATGCAATATATATATATATAAGACAAATCTCAAGGAATATATATATATATAGAGAGAGAGACATAATATACACATTTATAAGTATATATACATAGGTGCATACACATACATGTATATTTTTTTGAATAAAAAATTCCAAGAGGATAGAATCCAGGTAGAACTCAATGTCCAGGACAGAGTAAGGATATAATAAAAAGACTTAAACACTAATAATCCATGCTCATAATTTATTCCATTGGAATCGTAAATACGATCCAATTCATCACACCTACAAATTCAAAAAGAAAGCAGAAAGAAGCCTCAAGGAATCTAAGCAAAAGATTATATGAACACAAAAAGAACATTTTACATTTTTTAAATGCGTTGGTTGTCCACCGTAACGTGATTAACCACAATTTTAATATAAAAATCGCTTCTCTGATCAGAGTCTAGGGAATGCTTTAATCACAAGGTTAATTTACGCCTTGGCTCTTACATTAGCAAGCCCGTGAATGCAATGGACGCGACTGAAACTCGAACTCGGCTCTCCGATTGCTCAATCCTAACCGTAATATTAATATATATATATATATATATATATGTATGTGTGTGTGTGTGTGTGTGTGTGTGTGTGTGTGTGTGTGTGTGTGTGTGTGTGTGTGTAAATGAGAAATTTAATTTAAAAGAGGGTCATAACATAGTAGAGCTAATATACATACATACATACATACAAACACACACTCACATATATATATATATATATATATATATATATATATATATATGTATATGTGAGTGTGTGTTTGTATGTATGAATGTATGTATACAAACATTCTTTATATCTATGCAAGTAATATTCATACATACTCACACGCACAAACACGCACACACAGACCTATTCTCATATATGATTGCGTGAGAAAGCGTAAAAATTTTTAGTTGTGGTCAGCCACTGACGCCGAGAATATATATATATATATATATATATATATATATATATATATATATATATATATATATATATAGCTTATTGAGGGATTGAAGTAGATACGGATTTTCTATCAGTCACAATGTTCGATGTATTCAATATTTAATTTTTAAGACTGTCAATCCCAATCATTTGCTTTCCTCGGAATGACTGTCAATCTATCTATCTATCTATCTATCTATCTATCTATCTATCTATCTATCTATCTAAATTTATTGATATTTATATCTGCATCAGAAAATTCATATCTATCTATCTATCTATCTATCTATATTTTGTACAAATGTTTTTGCTTATATACAAGTATATATAAGCACATTGGCATATATAAGTGCAGACATCATCCATACATATCATTGTTTCTTTGCCTATTTATATATTTATATATAAAAACGTATGCCTTGACGTTCATTTACCCACATGTAAACTCACACAAAAAGTCTCACGCACACACACACACATTTTAATTGTTTACATGTTAGCCGCTTTATGTATACGTGTGAGTGTGTGAGGAAAGAAATAGGCGAATAAATGTTTCATCTTTTGATTTATTATCTTATAAACAGCCTCTCATTTGACGGCCATCTTCAACTGACGCGAGTTCAAAAGGTATCACCCCCCTCACGTCCCGGGGACAGGTTGTGCAGTATTTAAGGATTTGCCGGCCGCAGCCGTCGGGCAGTATGATGAGTGATCACACGCGAAGGTGGAAGCAACTAAAAGAACAACATAAAAAGTAACAATATTATTAAATAAATAAGTAAATAAAAAATGACTCCCCGCTTTCTCCGCACCAGCAAAAAAACACCAACATCTTTAACATATCTGTCATCGGGTAATGGTTATTACTTTCATGAAGGAGAAGAGTTTTCGCCCATAGACTGTACATTAAAAAGAAAATAAGGTTTCTTGCCTGAAACGCATCTATTAATTCCTGACCATTGACAATTCCCTTTGTTCCTTATTTCCAATATTTTTCCTCTATTAAAACATCATTACAAATTGTTAATACATCTCACTTTATTCATATTTATTTCAGACTATTCATATCTATCTATCTATCTATCTATCTATGTATATTTATTGATATTTATATTTGCTTCAGCCAATCCATTATCTATCTATCTATCTATCTATCTATCTCACTTTATTCATATCTATTTCAGCATATTCATATCTATCTATCTATCTATCTAGATTTACTGATATTTATATCTGCTTCAGCCAATTCATACCTATCTATCTATCTATCTATCTCACTTTATACATATCTATTTCAGCATGTTCATATCTATCTATCTATATCTATCTACTGGTATTTGTATCTGCTTCAGCTGATTCATATCTATCTATTTCTTGATATTTATATCTGCTTCAGCTGATACCTATCTATCTATCTATCTATCTATCTATCTATCTAACTATCTATCTATCTATCTATCTATCTAAGTTTATTCATATCTATTTCAGTCTATCCATATCTATCTTTTTTTTCTTTTTTTTTTTAATCGATTTCCCCTATTCAAGGCTGTAAAGCCAAGAAGACACAAAGGGTTACGGAAACATTTATAATTAGCGGGAAGAGAAAAGTGTAATTCTTCTTTGTATTTTATCAAGGAGCTCAAAGTAAACAGCTGAGGCACCGGGCCATCTGTAGAAGCAATATTCTAAGCATGGCCGAATGGAAGACATAGATGTACATGATAGTTTCTGGAGAGAAACATTGTCTGGCACGACACAATAGCTGACCTATCAATGGAATCGATATAATCATAGATGAGAATGTTAGCCCGAGAAGGCGCAATAAGTCAAGTTCCTGGTGGTTAGCATCAGCCATACTGATGGAAGGCAGAACGGAGTCTATCAGATGATCAATGAAGAGAAGCTTATTTCTGGAGGCGTTAAAATTAACAAGCCATTCTTTACCCCATTTAACAAGGGACTTCAGGTCGTTTTGGACATCGGCTGCCATTTTGACCTTATCGGTTAGATCAGCCTTATTATCAAAGCAGGAGTTAATGGTTGTGTCATCCCATTTAGGAGCTGATGATATCGGGAGGTCATTAATGAAAATTAAAAACAAAGTTGGACCAAAGATTAGACCCTGGGAGACACTCGTATTAATACGAAATGATGTAGACGAGTGGCCGTTTGGGATAACTTTCATTTTATGGTTTGATAGCAAAGGTTGGATCAGTTCAAAAATTTGTCTGGAGACACCGTAGCTCTTCATCTTGCGTAGAAGACCTGTATGCCAAATCTTTCCAGATGTCCAAAGCTACGGCCCGGGCTTCACCATTCTTATCTAGAGCATGATAGACTTTTCCCACAAATATCGTCAGTACATCAGAAGTTGACCTGGGGAAACAAAAGCCTTGTTGCTTGTCTGAAAAAAGCTTCTGTTATGTGGGATGCTTAACCAATTCAACATTGATTAGAGCTTCTGGGAGTTTCTCAAAAGGAAGTAGAAGTCTAATAGGCCGAAAGCAGAAAGGTTTAGACTGTTCTTAACAACTGGAAACTGGATGATGACTTTCAGCGGGCAGGAAAACAGAAGGCGGGGGGAGTCATTTATTATACAGTTTAGTGAGAACAAGAGCCAGTTCGGGAGAACACTTCTTTATGACTATTTCAGGGATACATACTTTGTTGAGGGCCTAGGTTAGAGATGATAGCAGAAACCATAGAAGGGGTTATATGCATGTTACTCAACAGAGACTCAGTTCTAAGTGGGAATTTAGTCAGGGGTACCCCAGATGAGTCAAGAGTAGAGTTTAAGAAGAATTTACGGCTGAACATTCAGCTTCATAAGCAGAAGATGTTAACACCTCAAATTGATTGAAGAGGGGAGGAACAGAGACCTTACGCAGATTTAATACACTATTACAGTCCTGCCATTAATGATGAGAGCCAAAATTCTTAAATGCTATGAGGTGCCTGGTTCACTCGTCAAACAGGGACTTCGCTTCTTCGAGGATTCGTTTACATTTATTTCGAGCAGCAACGAATAGGAGTCTGTTGGGACATGAGCTGTCATAGTGGTTTATCCGAAAATAGTGTGTCCCGTGGGCTGTAGTGGTGGAGAATGCTAGTGCGAGCCATGGAGAAGATTGAGGTTTCACCTAATATTTCCGAAAAGAAAAGAAAGCGTTCAGGCAGACTTTGACTAAAGATGAGTCCAATTCTCAATTGGAAAGTTAATGTCAGTCCAAGGGGCGTCAAGAAGAAAATCACGGAATGAATCCCAACAAACATGCTAGTAATAGAAAGAGGTCTTATGAATAGGGAATTCTTGTTTGGGACGTAATATCAATAGCTAGCACAGATTCCACGATTTCAGGAGAGGAAGTAAGAAATAAATCAAGTCGAGGGGGCTGTTGCTCGGTTTTGCAAGGAATTGGGCAATGTTAAAAAAAAAATTAATGGATTTAGAATGTTTAAGCCACGTGTCGTGATGCGTACTAAAGTCACCGAAAGTAAAGATGCTCGTAGATGAATGGAGAGAAAGTGTCTCTTCTATACTGTCAACTATTATGTCTAATATACTGCATTCATTGGAAGAGGTGAGGGCGATAAAAGAAAAAGAGTTAGGTAACAGAGTTTAGTATTGAAATAGTTATCGGTGAGGGAGTGTCGCGAGACAATTCACTGGCCATCGGAAGATTACCATGGATGTAAACACCAAGGCTATGCATGTGAATGCTGGAATATTTTCGACAAAGGTGAAGATAGCCTGGAATCAAGAATTCATTTGTAGCAGAGGAAGAATTTAAATTGGTTTCACAAAGGGCAAAGATGTCGGTTCCAAGAGAAAAGAAAAATTGAGTGGGGGTAGTTTTTTTTTTTTCTTTTTTTTTTTGCTGGTTTACTTGTATTTCTTTTGTTGTGTTTTTAATGATTTTTCTTTTGAGGAGAAAGTGAAAAGACCGCCATAATTATCATTATCTGCCGTCAATGGCACTACAGACTAATCAAAACGTGACTGAGACCTGAGCATAATGTGGCCTCAGAAAATTCATGCCAAGTCACCTACCAATTCGCAACATGGCACTACAAATACCGCGATATTATGCGACTGTTGATCAGAGCAGCCTCTCTAAGCGCTACCAAAGAGTTCGGACTCCTAACAACGAGTCGGAAGCAGCAGTCAGCCAACCCGGTACCTTCATAATGGAAAGTCACAGCCACTGATTAGTCTGATCACCAAAAATTAAGACAGTTAAATCATTGCTGCCCTCGCAGAAGAAAGTATGAGCCGGGAATCCATATCTTGAACAGGTAATAAGGGATGATTCTCTACTCTTGTTCAATAGAAGGAGTGCGGACCGGACTATCTATCTATCTATCTATCTATCTATCTATCTATCTATCTATCTATCTATCTATCTATCTATCTATCTATCTATCTATCTCAGTTCATATCTATTTTATTTGATTTAAATAGTAGGTCAGACTGAGCTCTTTAGTATTGGCTGGCAACCAACCTTGGAGAAGGAGAACTCTGAATTCTAAACCTAAAAAATTCTATCTATCTATCTATCTATCTATCTATCTATCTATCTATCTATCTACCGAACTAGCTAAGTTTATTGATATTCATATCTGTTTCAGTCTATTCATAGCTACGTAGCTAGCTTGCTAGATAGACATTCTATTTTATAAAGTAGTCGCTATTTTTCTTCCCATGTTGAGCCACGTCAGAAGCTTTTTGCTAGTCTCTCTCTCTCTCTCTCTCTCTCTCTCTCTCTCTCTCTATATATATATATATATATATATATATATATATATATATTCGTGGTAAATGAATCTGCCGATCTCCACTCTTTCTTTCCACGAGTTCTGACCTTTTCAGCTAATCCTACATCAACAGGTTCCAACTATTCCCATTATCTTCGTATTCCACTTTGGAACGATGATAAAGGATCATTTTTAAAATGCCATGGGCTTGTTCTCGATCGCATTGGAAGCATGCGACTAGCGAAATCCTTGACGACTTAAAATAGTAATGATAATGGTAATATTAGACGTTTCCCTATAAGGAAACATTTCGACATTCATTAATCAAACAGCCAGTATTACATTCGGTTGAAATTTCAAATAATTCTTCTTATTGGGAATAATCTAAAATACTAAAAGTTCATAATATTTTTTTCTTTTTGTTGTCTCGCTTAAACCTTGTTCCGCCATCCATGTCATCAAGCTTGCTAGATAGGTTATGCATTGTTTCCCCCCCTCTCTCTCTCTTGCCTTCAATCTGTCCTGTGAGTATCAAATTTTCTAAGTCCCCTTTCTTCATTATATGTCCTAGAAATGTCTTTTCCTCATTACTAAGTATAAGTATTTGTTTCTTTTTCCTCTAAAACTTCGTCGTTACTCCCATGTTCGGTTAATGGTATTCTCAGCATCCTTCTGCAGAACTGCATTTCTCTTCTTCATCTGTGAGGAATTTGTCCAGCCTTCACTGCTATACAAGAGGACTGATATTATATAACAGTCTAGTATTCTTTCCTTTGTTTCTAATGGAATTTTCCCGTTTCTTAATAATTTGCTTAACTTTTGGAAAACGTCTTTTGCTATCCGTGGTACCCGTTTTCAGGAAGTGGTGACAACATGCAGAAACTGAATAGAAATTCTAGCAATTAACCTTAGTACGATTCTGTGAATTTGCTGTAGTGCAAACCCAAATAAATTACTGTATTTGACGGCATATAAGACGTACGCGTGTATAAGACGCACCCAAATTTCAACATGGAAAATCAAGAAAAAATTAGTAATTAGTAAAGATAATCGTAAATGGTACAGCCTAGGCTATATTTATGAGGTATTATTTTGATTAAACAAGCAATGATTACAATTAAACGAAAAATAAAAGAAAAAAAAAGAACACGAGCCTATAAAAATCTTTATTATAAGCAATGGTAAGAAAACAAAATAAAAATCAAGTAATTATTATAATTGACCAATGAGTACAGTTACTATTAAAATTTGATTCATCTTCATATCCATAAAATTCGTCGTCTTCGTTCTCAAAACTCTTATAATCATTTTCGATACTATTATTATCGTCGTTAAATAATGCGTCACTTTCCGTTACATTGAGAGAATTGCTAATGCCGCACATTTTAAAAGATTTCACAAATATCGCAAATTTTAAAACTACATATGGAATATAAGACGCAGGGAATTTTTAAAAGATATTTTTAATAATAAAAAAAAAGTACGCCTTATATGCCGTCAAATACAGTACGTCGAGTCGTTGAATTAGTATAAGAAATATTTCATGGTTCATACTTTTAGTACCATCATGCATATATTTATTCATTTTCTTTTCTTTATTTCATTTTTTTTTTTCTCTTGTTGATGTGATTTTCTTTACAGATTTTGTATAAAAACATAAAATAATTAGATCATTATTACCGCGGCGGGAGCGAACGCAGAAACAAATGTCCAGATTAGAGTATTACCGCGTTATCTTAATTATTAAAATTTATACGATAAGCCCCTTTTGCTGTTCTACGGTCGTATATAATTATCTGTATAAGGCAATAATGGCTGCTTGTTTCTGAATATGGCCTCTGTTAGGATGACTTGTTAATATCAGTTGCGAACGGCTTCTAAGCTACACTTGTGTTTCTAATGCATCCACAGAACCAAGTTCTGGTTTATACTGATACGATGCTGAAAGTTCCTTTGGACAGAGCACCTAAATCTGGTGTGATTAACAGCTGAACAAGAGCGGTACATTTAAACGCTCGGTCATAATGACTTAATGTTCTAGACAAGCATTGACGGATTTCGAACAGCCTTGTCTACTTTGACACATGGTTTTCAGGCTGTTTCCAACGGTGTCCCAGACTCTGGGTACGTCTCCTTAGACACCAACTCCTTGATAAATCCACCATGGTGAGATTCGAAACCGAGTCTTATCATAACCATTTAACCACGCGCCCATTAAGAGCATTATAATATGGCTGAAAACATAAAAAATAATAATTATTACTATTTTCATAATTACCCAGTTGAAAGTAATTAGAAGACAGATGACAAGTTTGCACCTATACCTATGTGTATAGCGGAAGTGTCCAATTGATGTTTTTGATCTCCGAGGTGTGATAAGGATCTTTCTATAAGCATCATTAAACCCAATAGAACTGCGTTATTTATTACCCGGCTCCTTCTGTTTTCCGCCATTTTTTTTTTATTATTACTTGCCATTTTTTGTTTTTTTTGTTTTACCTTTATACTGTTCGGCGCCAGATTTCAATTCGTTTTTTTTCTTTATCAACCTGTCAATCAGTCGTTTTGAGCTTTCTTATTTACATCTCATTTGTCAAATCTCCTTGTTTGCTAGCCTGTCTGACCTCACGTATCACTGAGAAATCACGCTAGGTGTGAAATAAACTGTTTTTTATTTATTTTACTTTCGTTAGTAATGATGGAATTTATTATAACAATTAGAAACTGGTTAACGATTTAAGAAAGAAAAAAAAATACCCACAAATGCAAACACATTAAAAGTATATGTTTTAAAGGCCTTCCTTTATACAAATCTTCTATTCTGTTTTTCTTCGTTTTAATCTTAGCAAACCTTCACTGTATGTTTGCTTGGCAACCGTATGTTCTCTCCTTCTGTAGCAACTAGACCCGGTGTTCAATCTCAGGCAAAATACAAGAAAAAGGTATACAGATTTTCACGATATGAAATGCATCGACATTTAGAAGTTTGAACAAAAGACAATCTTCCTATGGTAACAAACGTCACTGCAATCGTATCGTAGTCAAATCTGACATATCCTTCTACGTGCTTTGTCCCTTCAGGAAGTAGGCGATCGAGGCTCTCCTCGACTTTCTGTCCTTTGAAGATCTTAATAAATTTTATCTTTTTGTTATCTCTCGAATACCTTGTTCTGCCATCCATGGGTAAATAGGTTATGCGGTGTTTTCATCTGAGACTTTTGCCTTCAATCTATCCCGTGAGTATCAAATTTTTCAAACCCTTTTTCCTCACTATAGGTTCTAGAAGTTTCAACTGTCTCTTTCTGATGTTAATTAGAAGTGTCTTTTTTGTTTTCATTTTCTCTAAATTTTCGAAGTTGAATGAAACATTAACTTACTATCAATTCCTTGAATAACACGATCCTTATATTTGAATTGTTGTCAGATGGAATTGATGATCCTGGGCCGAGTACTTTCGACATTTTCAAATTGTCATCTTCAGACGAAATAAATGTAGTGTAGACCGAAAGATGTTTTTTAAAAATATGCTACTTATGCATGATGTTGAAAGACCTGAAATTCCTAAAAACATCACTGATGATGTGTGCCAGAGAATCAAACCGATGTATTTAACCGAAAGACCAATGTCTGTCATTACTTATTTTTATTGTGGGGGAAAGACAGAAAGTGCACTGAGCCAAAGCCACACACTGAGTATGCAAAAGTGTTTCCGCGTCCTTGTGGGTGACGAATTATTTCCCACCCTACAACCCCTTTCCTCACAGACGAAACGTCGCAAGTCTCTCACTGTTGTATCGCTATTTCAATGGAAAGGGTTTACACGAATTCATTCAGTTATATGCCATCCGTGATACACACTTAGGCGATCATGTACCTTTCGATATATGACTGACGTGGCAGATTTTTTTTTCCCGCGGTAGGTTACCATTTCTTTCTGCGGTAGACCAGTCGCCATCCAAGGCTATAGAACCCAGTCTGTCCTGATATTTTATCCATACCTGCGGGAGAAGAATCGGATTCATACCTTTTTGAAGGGTATTAGCACGTAAGTGAATGTAATGGACGAATTACATTCCTTAGTTGCACCAGTTCTAATTTTCACAGCTAAGACCCGACATGCCACGCCCATTGTGGCAAACCACCCTTATTCCCTTCGTATTCCATTGGTGAGATGTAAGTTCCACCCGAGAAGTTTCTTTTCCCGAACCACTACTTTATGGAACCGACTCCCAAGAGGATGCTTCCCCGATCACTACAATCTTAACCTGTTCAAGTCTAGGGTCAACCGTTATCTTTCCCACATATCGCCATTATTATGTAACCCTGTACTTCAAGTGGCGCTTGGTTTTTGTACAGGGGAACAAAAATAAACAGTTGTTTGAAATGAAGAGAAAGTCTACATCATTGATTGCTAGTGATCCACATATGTTACATCAAAACATTCCTTCTGGTTGAATAAATTAACGAAGGACAAGGAGCCCTTCGAAACGACGAAATGCGTTTCTAGAAGTTTCTTACATCTGAAAAAGTTCTTTCGATGGTCGAAATCCATCACATAGAATATTGCCCTTCTTGTCACTTCTGTAGCGCCAATCCCCGATGGTGGAAGAAGGCTGCTCCTCGCAAAGACCTACATGTTTCACGCGCTCGAAGTCATATTTCTGAATGAGTCTGGGGCCATGCATGACATCCAGGTCTTCATCTGTAACAGAGAATCCGGTCGGCACGATAAAAACTCCGAGTTGGTTGCATGTGGTGCTGTAAGCACCAAGAGTTGCGTCCCTTTCCACAATAGGTTGTTGAGCAAAAACCTTCTACTTAGAGATGATGGCGATGTCTATTTGCAT